TCTAGTAGTTATTTTCAGAAGTAAGGGGGTACAAATGAAAAGATTTGAAATTGATAACTGGTTACTATGCCATTTTAGGCACTACTAAATTTCAGTGTGAGAAAGAAAGAAAGAAAGAAAGAAAGAAAGAAAGAAGAGAATATAGAAGTGTTTAACGCTTTCACCCTTTACCTCATAAATAATGGATTATTCCTATTTTCGCCTATAGAGACGGGAAAAAACTACTTGAGAAAAGAAAGAAAGAAAGAAAGAAAGAAGGGTGGGAAAATAGAATCGTTTAACGTCACCTGACAATACCTAATAAATAATGGACTATTCCGTTTTGATCGCGTGTAAAGAAGGGAAGAGACACTACTTGGTTTCAGTGAAAGAAAGAAAGAAAGAAAGATAGAAAGTTAAAAGGTTTAACGTCTCCTGCCAATACCTCATTAATAATGGATCATTTTGTTTTGATGGCATAGAAAAAAAACAAAAACAAAGACGCCACTTCTCCGTATAAATAACTGTATGTGAAACAAATTCTTTCAACTGAATTTTGTTGTGAATATGGAATCAAAGGAAGTAGCAGACATCATTTAAATTATTTCAAATGAGGTTGCATCAAATCTGACCAACAACCTCTCTTTAAAATATTTTATATAAAATACTGAACAAATATATATACACTTTGTGAGTAAGGTAGATTGCTCTAGTCCCACGTGTCATGCCCCAAGGACACATGGCCCAGTGGATAAAGGCGTTGGCTAGATCCAGTGACTAGACCCAAAGAGTTGTGAGTTCATTACCAGGCCACCCACAGCGGTGATGAAAAAAAAAACTTGGATAGTTGAGTTAAAGAGAAATAACTTCGACCTCCGGAAGAGCCATGGCACGTGGAACTAGGACAATTTACCCTGTGGACGAAATAAAGGGTTCGTTTCGAAATTCCGATCACCTGAAGACGGCCGGAGCGTACAACGGCCGAAACGTTGTGAATATGGTAATGAAGATGAAAGTAACAGTTCGAATAATGTAAATAATGTAAGTAAAAATATTGGTATTTGATAATTTGTACCAAGCTTTTTCATTTATGATTAGTAAATATAGTTTTTACTTAATAATATCATCTAAAAGGGTAGAATTAATACAGAGTTTTAAAAGATTTAAAACTTAATAAATTTTTCTAATTAAAATTTTCAAAAACTTAAAACAATTCCTGTAAACTTTTTCTGAAGGCAATAGCGTCTTTAATCTATGTTATTTATAAAAGCAATTAAAAGCTTTTCTTTTAAAATAATGTCATAGATTTATTGTATTTTAATTTTACGATTCAGAGCAGATTGTTGGTAAAGGGTGTTTCTGTTTGACAAAAACAAATTGATGATTTAAATTCTTCAAGGAATCCTGCTTTTAACTAATATAAATACCAAGAGACTGGAATTTTAATTTCTCGAAATTTCGTTAATTTAGGTATGTGATGAAAAACAAAAAATTTACGAAGATTTTTAAAATAATCCAAAAATAATTTCATTCATTTGCGAATAATTCCTGAAAATTTAATTAAAATCCAACAGTTATTTGATTTTTGCAAGAATTTCCAAAACAATGTGTTTTTTTTTAACGCCAAAAAAGGCGCTAAAATTTCCAATACTAATCTTTGGCCCACCCGATGACGCAAGTTTTTTAACCAAAATTTTGAACGTGCTAGAAAGGATTAAAACATTTAATAAAATATTCAAAAATATTTCGTTTTTCCTTTTAATAACATAAACATTTTCAATATAAAAGTTTTTTTTTTTTATAAATTTTGGGGTCTTTTTCATTATGCAATGCTCTTTTTAGCGAATTTTCAGAGATAGATATTTTACTCTTAATATTTCTATGAATTACAAGAAGTCTTGTTTGTTTATAGAATATAATATTTGAAATTTTGAAACTTACCAATTTATTCTTAATATTGGCCTTTCCATTCAATTTTTCCAAATAATGCCTTTATTTTCATTTTTATTTATCCTCTAAAACCAGAAAGAACACACAAGACAATAAATATGAAAAGTAATAACTAATTGATATATCAATATTTTAAATGGGGTGCTTGAAAACCTCACTACTTATTTCGTGACAATGCCCCTCATTTATGACGGAGTGTTAATAAGTTTTTAGACTATTTACATTATTTACATTGTTCGGACAGTTGCCCTCATCTTTATTGTCAAATCACGACTTTTCAACCGTTCTACACTCCGGCCTTCTTCAGTTGATTTTTTTTTTTTTTAATTTCGTACCCTTTATTTCGTCCACCGGGATCGATTGTTCTAGTACCAAGTGCCATGCCTTTTATGGATATTTCAGTTTCAGATATTTCCTCTTAGTAACTAATCTCCCCAAATATTTTTTGTCTTTTGTTTACCTCTGCTGTGACCGGGAATTGAACTCAAAACTCTTGGGTCAAGTCACTTTTTGGATTGCTTCAACCAACGCTTTTATCCACTGGGTCATGTTAAAAATTCTTCGATTATATTTTTACTCTATATCTATCTACCAATTAGAGCACCAAATCAACTTATTAATTTATCCAAATCCTTAAAAAAACAAAAGGCAAACCAAAGCATTCTCGCGTGAAGGGACGTTACAACCATTGATATAATCGTTAACACTTTATATAAAATAATTCAATTCCATCTCCATCCAACAAACCCAATATTCTCAAAAATTATTGCATGCCTGCACAACTAAAGTCCCCATAACGGCAAAATCTACACTCGAACTAATGGAGTAAGAATGGGAAATCCTCTCGGTCCGTGTTTCTCTATTACATGCCCCACGTAGAAAATTTACTAAACTAAATATGTTTGCTATGTAACCACAGCACCTTGTCTGTCGTTTTTTTAACGAACTTGCATATATATATATATATATATATATATATATATATATATATATATATATATATATATATATATATATATATAAAAAGAAATATAGTTTTATGGTGTGCTATATTTATGGGATAAAGTGCTCAATATCAGAGATAGAGCGTATATATATATATATATATATATATATATATATATATATATATATGGCTTTTTTTCACGCAGTAGGTTGCCATTTCTTTCTGCGGTAGACCAGTTGCTATCCAAAGCTATAAAACCCGAACTGTCCTTGAAAAATATTTTCGATCATAAATTTATATATATATGGTAACAGAATCCATTGGTTTATACCAATGGCTTCCCATACTTCCTACTTCTTCAATTCACTCTCGTGTGGTCATGTGTGACGTCATGAAATGCGGTGCGATTTTCGCTTCTAGGGTCTTATATGTACGTGTTTACCGTTTCTTAGAAATCATCTATGTAAACAATGACAGACTATCATCACTGTCTTGTCCGTATACTGCTTAATATGTTGTAATTGACATCTTTGATAATGGCTTATGTAAGCCGAAAGCTTAGATTGTATTTAAAAAATATGGATCAATATTGTGAATTTCTTTCTTCGTTCAACGATAATGTTATTAAACTTATCAGACGTTATGAAAAAAATTTACATAAAACAAATAGACAACACTTGTCTATATTATTTAATGAAACGTCTATGAATATATATATATATATAGATAGATAGATAGATAGATAGATAGATAGATAGATAATATTAGTGGTAAATATACACATACAATTTATTTACGATTCTAATAATAAATTATGACCATGGAATATTAGTGTTTAAGCCTTTTTATTATATATATATATATATATATATATATATATAATAAAAGGCTTAAACTATATATATATATATATATATATATATATATATATATATATATATATATATATATATATATATATATATATAAAACAGAGAAACCGGTTTTGGTCATAATGTGGATTTGTTTTAGTGTATATATTATATTTTATTCTACATATTTTTGCTACACGTGTTTACGGTCATGATTCACAAAAATGGTAATAGATTAGACAATCTCAGTTGTCATGTCCGTACAGGCAGATGAATCTATCATCAACACATCTGTCATCCCCACCACTAACCAAATCTAATGATTTTATTACCACTTAGGTAGAAATTCAATTTTGCCATTAGTCGGAAAAATGAGATCATGGCTCACTACAAATACAGGAAATGAACAATGAAACATTAAAAGAACATAAGAAAAATTTATTCCTTTAAAAATTGATTCCTTTTATTTGCCTGAAGAAGGTCACGAGACCGGAAACGTGTGTAGCAGAAATATGAAGAATAAAATATAATATACCCACTAAAACAAATCCACATTATAAACAAAAACTTTTTTGATATCTCTTTTCATAAAATATACATTTTTCTCTCGCTGGAACAATTATAACCTTTTCCCAATATACATACATATATATATATATATATATATATATATATATATATATATATATATATATATATATGTTTCCTTAAAGACGACAGACACGTTATTGCGATTAAGCATTTTATTTTATTTCTCTTGTGTTCGTACAAATGATATCTTTTCTGGATACAAAATGTGTAAAAATTGCCGAAAGATTTTGCATATCCGAGCGTTTTCGGCTATTCTTCTTGCCATTGTCAAGGATGATTTTTATTTTCCTATTTTTAACAAGATGTATGTTTTTTTATGCATGTATCTGAAGTTATAGCATTATTTTCCCAACACGGTCAGCACGGTGTTGCCGTGTTCCTAGTTAATGTTATTTTGCTTGTTATTCGCTTAACCTATACGTTCCGCTATGGAATAGCATTGCTGCTCCACCAGCTCACAAATTCTAATGACAGCTGCAGCAGACAGAGTAAATCCTTTCAACCTTTGGATTACTTCCGGTTAACCTCATTCTGAATTATGACCATTTACACAAACTGCAGTATTGTTATGCGTACCTACTTATTTCCTGCCCTGCCATTGCCTCGGATAAACAATGAGAGCATTCCTTTTTGATTGAGAGAAAAGTCGAAAGAAAAAGATATGTCAGGAACAGTGTCTGGTTTTACTGAAAGAAAGAAAGAAAGAAAGAAAGAAAGAAAGAAAGGAAAATGAAAGAAAAAAAACAAAGAAAGAAGAAACAAAAAAGAACAAAGAAAAACAAAGAAAAAGGAAAAAAGAAAAAGAAAGAAAGAAAGAAGACAGAAGAAAAAAGAAAAGGGAAGAATGAAAGAAAAATTAAATAAAGAAAAATGAGAAAAACCGAAAGAAAAAGAAAAGAGAAGAAAGAAAGAAAAAAGAAAAAATGCGAAGAAAAAACAAAGAAAGAAAGAAAAGAAACAAACAAAAAGAAAGAAAGAATAAAGAAATAAAAAAACAAAAAGAAAAAAGAAAAGAACGTTCTTTTGGTTTTAACGTCTGTTTCAGTGGAATTTGAAAATCGTTTTCATTTGTACCCTCTTACTTCTTTAAATAATAACCTGCCTTTTAATGATAATCATATTTAATGATTGTCATGGCAATATTTGGTTAATAATGATTCATAATTCACATATTCACGATGCCTACGAATTTCCACGGGTATAATTTACACCGACGCTAGTGATTGCATTTTGAGACGCCATCTTGAAAACTAAGATTTCAGGCGCAGATTTTCAAAACAGTTTGACGGTACACAATCTTCATATATTTCTCTTTGTTCACTTTTAGCTCTGTATTTAGCTAAACAAATATCTCTTCGGTACTTTTAATGATTGTAAAGAAGAGAATTGTTATGATATTTTAACGAGGACGACATATTAAGAATAGCCGATTTTTCTTCTTCTCTTTTTAAGATAATGACATGTTCTTGTCGCTGTTATAATGCCAGTTTCTAATAACAGAAGGGAACCATGTGATTCCAATAGTAATGTGAATGATGACAGCTTTACAGTGGCCATTCCTGTTCACCCGTGCGTCACAATGGCTTCTGCACTCCTCGACTGATGTCATTTCTCTGCAATCCATATTTGGAATGAACCTTTTTTTCAGCATTCTCTCTCCTCCTCTCTCGTAAATCTTTATCAACTGATCGAATTCCAATTTACACATTGGTCACAAGGCTAAGCAGAGGCGGCGTCTGTTCGATTTTATCAGTAGAAAAGTCGGCCTTTCTCTTTTCCCTCGCCTGTTTTGTTTTGTTTTAATTGCTATCAATGCGGTGATGTCGTCAAATTTCGCTTCTAAATCCAAAGCCTCTCCTTCCAATGATGGGATTATAATCAGCGTTTCAATCGCTCAATTGAAACACATGGGCAGTTGGGACACACAACAAGCCTCACGGAGTGGGGTTAGGGTTACTTTCACCTTCCCAAACGCTGCCATATTGAAACCCAGACCGATCGTTGTTGTTTCATTTACGTTGCAAAATTTGTTAGTTTCTTGTAATTTTGCTTGAGTTTTTTTTTCTTTTTTATCTTTTCAGTTCTATAAATCTGTTTCGTCAGGAAGAAAAAATAAAAAAAAAATATATATATATAACACTGTCCTCGAAATCGTTGAATTAGACACATCTGAACATCGACTTGAGATTGGGAGTTGATAACTTGAGCCAACACGTCAGCCTGAAAAATATACGACAACGAAGAAAAATCGTATCCGTCTACATGCCACCATCCTCATGGCTATAGATTGTTCAGCCGGAGAGCGTTAGATTAGGATTCAAACTAAAACAAAAAAAACAAAATGAACACTCAACTCATTTATTTTGTAATTGAAGAAAAAAGCGATTTTTATATTAGTTTCATGAAAAATTGGTTTGGTGATCATCTGGAGAAGCAATTTCTAATTCATAACGATAGATAATAAGCAAATACACGCTTGATTAAAAATATTCCCAATTATGCTCGGCGCCAGTGTAAAGTGATGGCAAACGAGCTCGTTTCAAGGAGTTCGATCCTCACAGGAAACCTGCGCCATACATGCCCAAAATCTTAAATATTTCAAGTGTTCGCCATTAAACAAAAAAGTGGTAAACTTCACACGCAGACAAAATGCTTGTGAAACTTAATTCTGATTGAGCGTCCTATAAATGTTGCTTGAACTGTACAAGTTTAATCTATAAATGATGATGAAGTTACTTTGTTGTTCGTTATATATAGTATGATTTTGCAAAAGTTTTCAGCAAAACATTAAAAAATGTTTCCGAAAGCATTTGCACGCACCCACTACATTCAATATCGTGAGTAACGATAGTTTTTTTGCTTTTTCTTTATCCATACTTCAGCTATCCCATAGAACACTCGTATAGTTAAATCCTCCTTGACATGAGACAGGAAATATTAAAAGAGAAATGACATAACATTTTTTCGCAGTTTTAGTCATCCATATTTTGGCTATCCCATGATCTCCTTAATTTAATCAGAATTTCATCACATATGTAATAACTTAAAACAACATACATTGTGTTATATATATATATATATATATATTCTTCGGTAAATCAAATCGAGTTCGTTCTCTCAGTCATTTTGTGTATATCTAAAAATAAATACGCTTAAATTCACCTTCTTCCCTGCCGTGCTTAGGAATAAAATCTCCGAATGACGCCAATTCAGCCGGGTTTCGATCCTAACTAGAGGCAACTGGACGTCTAGCCACACTGATGAGCAAAACAGTCTGTCTGTGGATGACTATATATATATAATGTATTATTTTAATACCTATACTCGGCTGGTGTGTAAATACACGGATAGTAAAATTAGGAAATAAAATATATTTAAACAAACTGGTGTCTGGTAAAAAAAAAAAAAAAAGACTAAAAATATGGGTGTTGGCTGAAATGAATCACTCAACACCGTAATGCTGAGCCAAAAGAAAAAAAAAAAAACACCAATCGAGTAAATTAAGAAAACCGTAAAAGTGCTCAATACTCTAAGTTGAGCAAAGTAAAAAAAAAAAAATAATGAGCCAGGATCTACCTACCAAGGTTTCACCTAACGGATCTTCAGAGTTATATATATATATATATATATATATATATATATATATAAACTGTTTTAAAATATGGTTTCTTCCCTACACAGGAATTATTACCATGTTTCAAAAACCGAAGCTAAAAACTTCAAATTAATTATATAATTAAATTAAAAGCATTAGTTCTGTTCCATCTTCAAGCGAATTTTGGAATAACTTATTTTAAAATTTGCTAAGTTTTAAACGCACATACAATTAATATTTTTTTGTTTCCAAGGATACAGAGAAATCCAATCATTTAGACTTTCTTTTTATTATAATATATATATGTATATATATAAATGTGTGGGCATATGTGTGTGTGTGTGTATGTGTGTGTTTAAGTTTTTTTCAGATAGAGTAAACTGAATAAAAAGAGACAAGAAGAAAAACTATGTGCTTCGTCTTCTGATTGACATTATCAAGGCAAATTTATTCATGATTTATTTTGTTGCACGTGTTTATATACAAGAACAAATATGTCATTGGTTTATCAAGCTTTTTTACGTTTGAAATGTTCATGAATATTCATCAGCTGGGTGAAAGGTCAGTCAAAACAAGTGGAAGCCACAAAGTGCCATATATATATATATATATATATATATATATATATATATATATATATATATATATAGTGGGTATTGCAGAACAACAAGAGGCGACAGCAGTTTGTTTCATGTTAAACGCAATCGTCAGACTATATGCATTGACTTTTTTATTGATACATGCCTTGTGGGTAGTCTATTGCATTGTGGGTAGTCTATTGCATTATTTTAACAGTTATTTTGGTGGGCGTGCTTTGTTAATTTGTTTCTGATTTACTTAGTTTATTTACTTACTTATTTGGGGGATTAATTTATTTGTTTTTTGTTTACAAGTTTAATTTTATTTATTTATTTTCATTATTCTTGTTGGTTTTCATTTTTCGATTTTTAAGTAGTGTAGTAAAAACACAACGCATATGGCCTGACAATTGCGTTTAGCATGAAACAGACTGTCGCCACTGGGTGTTGACTTCAACGTCCACTTTTATATTTACATACGCTCTATCACTGATATTGAGCACTTTTAATCCATACATATAGCATATTTTAAATCTATATATTTTTTATCTGATTATCTAGATTTTTATATATGTGTATGCTTTAAAATTAGGATATATAACACCGGTAATATTTTTAACAGTTTTGACTCTAGGAAACTTTACTGAAAATATACTGATATGATGATACACCTTTCTCTACCGGTGGGCAATACAGTTTCAATATCCTTAACTGCACCATAGCTGGTATTAAGCGAAAAAGAGAAAGTTTCTCAGCTGCCACCGCATGCATCATCCGAAGGCTGATATTGATCGTCTGTATGTGCCCAGATCCGAAGTAGGAAGAGGATTAGTTCAACTAGAACTGTCTTATAAAACTACAACAATCAGCCATCAAAGATACCTGTAAACTACAGAAGACTGAATGGGGATCTGTGTCAAAGAATATAAAAGAAATTTTATTTAGTAATAAAGAAAGGCAACGAGTTCAAAATGGAATTTCTAGTGGCTAAAGTAATGAAAGTAAAGCATAATACACCTACTGAAACTGCAAAACATTTAAAAAAAAGAAGCAAAGGTAGATCAATCAACAAGATACAGAAACGATGGCAAGATAAACCACTTCACGGTCAATATCCAGCCTGTACCAAACAAGCTGATGTAGATAAACCCCATACCCATTAGTGGCTACGTAGTGCAGGGTTAAAAGCTGAATCCGAATGTTTTCTTCTTGCTACACTGGACCAATGATTGCTAACTAGAAATTACCAATACACATATTTAAACATACACCAATACACATACATGTATTTCATTTCTTTCGTTTTCGCTTTCCGATCTAATGAAGCCTTAAGTGTCGAAATACATTATCCGATATATTTCGTGTATGTGTATTTATAGTGATGGGGGATTTTTTTTTTTTTCAAACACGGTCAGCACACAATGACCGTGTTCATAGTTGATATTATTGAGTGCTGGATTTTTCTTTTTTATTATTAACCCTTTGAGTCCTACGTTCCTGAACAATTTTAACCCTTCAGCTTGAGCCCCTGAGTCAAAATTCGCAAATAATTGGGATGTAATGTTTCACGGTAGAAATAAAAATAGTTACAAGTGTTTACCCACTGTTCACCCGGTTGATGGGTATTACACCATGTTTTCTATCACCGTTCAACCGATGTTTGGGTATTACGCCATTTTTCTCTACCATCGTTCAACCGATGTCTGGGTATTACGCCATTTTTCTCTACCATCGTTCAACCGGTGGCTGGGTATTAGGCCATTTTTCTCTACCATCGTTCAACCGGTGGCTGGGTATTATGCCATTTTTCTCTACCATCGTTCAACCGGTGGCTGGGTATTACGCTATTTTTCTACCACCGGTAAATCGGTGGTCAGGGCTCAAAGTGTTAATGCTTCCGTTATTTTTTGCCGTTTTTTACATGGTGGTGTCTTTTGCAAAACTGTGCGGGCACGAACGTCCAAGTTTACCAAAATATTCATCGTAAATTAGCGAATGGAAAAATATAACAAAGAAGCAAACCGTTTGACATTCCTCGCTCTTCAGAGCTCAATCAAGGACAAAAGACATAAATATGTAAAAAAAAAAAAACGGCAAAAATAGGGGCAATTAAAAAATGTATACAGATCCACTATCCCTGATCAGAACTTCCTAAGTTCGTAAAGTTCTGAAAACCGCCCTTTTTTTCCATGGAGTACGAGTAACGGTAAAAGAGTCCATTGTAAACGTCTATAAGGTCCAGCGGTGATGCTGGAAATGCTGTGTTGCAAGCAAACAGACAACGCTATCTGTTATTAACATGGAGTTAAATACAGAAAGGAACGAAGACAGTAGTAATGATAATATTGGGAACACTGGTGAGAAAAATAACCATAAACGATCTAGTGAAAACGTGTGACCAGTTAATAAACTGGGCTTGAACAGTGAGCAGGAAATAATGTCCGTTTATTGAATTAAAAAGAGACTGCTGACCGGGAAGCCGAGAGAAATGTTTACAAACGCTCGTCATAGGAATGTCGTCACGGGAGTCAATATTGGACACCCAGGTCCTTCGTGGCAACGAAAATAGTGACACCAATGATCCCATTTCTGCCATATTGTCACGGTAAAAGACAGTGTAGTGTATCGTAAGAGAGTTTAGAGATATAGCAGTATGTGGCAGATGACAAGAGGATGAATGCAACAGTGACAATCAGATGACATTTAAGTTTGACCTAAAAGTCTTTTTAGAAATAAATTCCCCTAACTGCATGTGTTTATAGAATATAATTGTCCCAATACTATGTAATTCGTTAGTGTATGTTTCCACAAATTATATGTTATTTTGGTTCAATCATATTTTGTTTGTTTTTTGTTTTGTCTTGGCCATCTTCTTCTATGTGCCGTGTCCATTCATGACGTAGGCGATCATGGCTCTCCACAATTTCCTCTCCTTTGTAGCTCTTTATAAATTTGACCATTTTGTTATCTCTCCTAAACCTTGTTCCGCCATCCATTTACTCAAGCTCATTCTTCTTCTTCTTCTATGTGCCGTGTCCTTTCAGGACGTTGGCAATCATGGCTCTCCACAATTTCCCGTCCTTTGTAGCTCTTAAGAAATTCCGTCTTTTTGTTATCTCTCCTAAAACTTATTCCGCCATTCATTTGCTCAAGCTAATTCTTCTTCTTCTTCTTCTTCTTCTTCTTCTTCTTCTTCTATGCACCGTGTCCCTTCAGGACGTAGACGGTCATGGCTCTCCACAATTTCCTATCCTTTGTAGCTCTTAATAAAATGTTGCCTTTTCGTTATCTCTCCTAAACCTTGTTCGCCATCCATTTAATGAAGCTCATTCTTCTTCTTCTTCTTCTTCTTCTTCTATATGCCGTGTCCCTTCAGGACGTAGGCGGTCATGGCTCTCCACAATTTCCTGTCCTTTGTAGCTCTTCATAAATGTTGTCTTTTTGTTATCTCTCCTAAACCTTCTTCCGCCATCCATTTGCTCAAGCTAATTCTTCTTCTTCTATGTGCCGTGTCCCTTCAGGACGTAGGCGATTATGGCTCTCCACAATTTCCTGTCTTTTGTAGCTCTTAATAATTCTGTTTTTTTTTTGTATCTCTCCGAAACCTTGTTCCGCCATCGTTTTCTCAAGCTCACTAGGTATTTTATTGTGTTTATTTTCCTTTGTCTCTCTTGTCTTCATTTTGTTATGTGAGTATCAGATTTTCCATGCCCTCTTTCCTCATAACATATTTATTCCATAATCCGAAACACAGCTGACCCCCAAGGATTTTGGATTAGCGATTGTGGACCTGCAGTACCAGAGAATTTTCTTTGTAATTATTGCCCACCTTCTGAAATTATAATCTTTAATTAGATTTTGATATTTCGTGATGTTTCTATAACACCGCTATAAAGATGAAAGTTAGGAAATCTGCTGTCATACTGTAACAATTAGTCTTCTGCTGGTTAATTTAAAAATAATATCGATTCAAGCACCAGGAGCCCATTCACCCCAGGTTGTATTTCGCCAAAAGGGGAAGTGTTGATTTTGGTTTCGTTTCGTTTGTTTTACGGCATATCAACCTCAATGGGTTATTTAATGCCGACAAAATTTTTATTCCTTGTAATATTTTGTTTTGTCAAAAATCTATTTCTGGTAATAATTTTTTCCGTCAAAACTGTATTGCTGGTAATATTTATTTTCAAAAATGTATTGTTGGTAATATTTTTTTTCCAAAATGTATTGCTGATGATAATTTTTTACAAAGTATTTCTGGTATTAAAACCTATTTTTACACTTTCATAGTGTTTTGACTCCTGTTTCGGGGTTAACTATTTGCCTATAGCTGGGACCCTAACAGGTGCTACCACCCCGGGTCAGGGTAGACCGGGGAACACCAGCAATTATGAAGTGGTTCCACGTTCCTCAAAACCTCCTGATCAGAGTTCTTGCTGCTGGACGTAGTCTATCGTCTTACCCAGGACGCGGATGTAGTTTATCGTCATACCCAGGACGCGGGAAGTATCGAGGGGATTTGGGTAATTTTTACACGCTATTGCCATTAAACCCACTTTAAACTGACCTTTTGTCACACATTCGGTAGCGACGTGAAAAATCACATCGTAACATTTAGCCTAATTTATACACATTATGCGAAGTATCCTTCACGTTGCTCTTATTATACAATGCATGGTCGATCATAGCTCTCCACAACTTCCTACCATTTTCAGCTCTTAGGAATATTTTTCTTTTTACTATCCACCATTCCCTGTCCAACCATTCATTTACGCAATCTCGATAGAATCCAAAAGCGTCTCCACGTCTTAACAAGAACCAGAGCAGGCCAGAAATAAAGTACTGCTCCTATATATGAACAGGAGCTACCCTTTTTTGACTTTTCAATCTCGATAGAGTCCGAAAGCATCTCCGAGTCTTTACAAGGGCTAGATCAGGGCAGAAATGGTGTATTACTGTCATATATGGACATGTGCTGTATTGTCTTACTTTTGCAATCTTGATAGTATCCAAAAGCGTCTCCGCGTCCATGTGGGTGACGAATTATTTTCCACCCTACAACACCTTTCCTCACAGTCAAAAAAAGTACTTCTTGCCTTCAAAGTATACCGTGAGTGTTAAATTTTCCAAACCTTCTTTCTTTATTGTAGGTCAAAGAATTTCAATGGTTGCTTTCTGATTATCAGCCTCCTATTTTGTCTGTTCAAACTTCCTCTTTACCCACATTGTAATTCGATGGATTTCTCAATGTCTTTCTGTTCAAGGACATTTCTGTTGACACAAATCTTTTCATCTGTGAGAAAATTGTTCAGCATATACTGTCATAACTGTCAGGACATTTTTTGTATGTTTGTTTGTCCCTAATGTAATTTTCCAGTTTCTTAATACTTTTACTTAGCTTTTAGCAAACAAATGTTGCTCTTCTAATATCAATTCGGAATCCCATTTTTTATCCTTTTCCCAAATATTGTCATTTTTGTACTTTATTTATTTCTCCAATTTGTAACTCGCACCTTGATAACAAATATACATTCTTTCCTTAAAATTGATAGTCATCCCTTTCTTCCAACTTTCCTTTAATATAGTTTCCAGAAGTTCCTGCAGTTGTCATAGACACGTTTTCCTTGTGCATTTTTCTATGAGTAATTTCATGGTAACTCTTCTGCTGAACAATCCTCTTTGGTACCTAGACTTTAAGAATTTAAGCGCAGTACTAGATTGGCGGTTAGGTCTCATCATTATACTTTTGTAATGGTTAGATGTAGCCGTGAGTTCTATGATAACAGTTTCTTCGCTCGCACTTTGTGTAATTATCTTCCATCTTTTTGCTCCCTAGTCAAGTTTGGTCTTCAAAAAAATTTAATGCAATGTCAATCGTTATCTACTGTCTTTCTGATTACTCTTCTATTGTTCTTGCTCCTCAATAATATTTATGTTTTCTAATACTTCCACAACCTGTAAACCCTTGTGTCTTAGTGGCTTTACTGCCTTGCTTGGAATGATCTCGATAAAAAAAAAAATCGTCGACTGAATTTAAGAAAATTGTTTGGATATTTTGTACAGGTTTATATATTCAGAGAGGCACGGTGGAGTAATGGATAGCGGAAAGGATTGTGGAATAGGAGAGCCGAGTTCGAATTCCAGTCGAATCCATTACATTCACTTACGTGGCTTGGGAAAAGTATGAATTCTCTTCTTCTTCCCCAGCTAGCAGGACAGACCAGATTCAATAGCCTTGGATGGCAACTGGTCTGCCGCAAAAAGAAATGGCAACCAACTGCGGGAAAAGATCTGCCTCGTCAGTCATGTATCGAAAGATACATGATCGCCTAGCCGTGTATCACGCATGGCAAATAACTGACTGATATATATTCAAAAACTGAAATGCAATTTTCTGTCTTCTAAATTTCTGTTTTTTTTTTATTGTTCTCTCTCCTTAATAGTAGTTTTTTTTTGCTTATATTCTTTCACACTCAGTAACTCTCTATATCTCAGTGGCTTTGTTGCCTTGGTTGGGATGAAATGATTAATACATACATACACACACACAAAGCCATTAAGACAGAAGTGATTAATGGTTATTAATGGTTAAAGTATAAGAAAAAAGAAAGTCTTTAAATATATATACTTTCTAATGTTTATTGTTAAAAAATTTAGATCCAATGTCAATAGTTATCTTCTGTTTGGATTTTTGTTCTTTAATTGTTCTCTCTCCTTAATAATGTTTTTTTTTTCTCATATTGTCTTCCACTCAGTAACTCCTTACGTCCTAGTAGCTTTATTGCCTTGCTTGGAATTTTATGTTGTTAAGATTCTGTTGGCCAATAATCGTGCAAATATTTCCCTGAATATCTTCATCATTTGGCTAAATATTTGGAAATATAATTGTTTATTAACGGCTGGCTCTGTACGACGCTCATCTCAACTAGGCCATTATTAAAGACGAAGTAAAGTTCAAATTCATTTTATAAACATATTAAACCGCCCATTGCCATTATATACATATCTGCTTTGAAAATTCAATTTTGTTTTTAATTGCAAATAGCATGAATTTAATCGTAAACACTAAAAGTTACTCAAAGATGTTTTAGACTTCTTTAATGACAATTTTGATCCTATAAAATTAAATTCCATTACGACTTGATTGATACCTACCACCATAATGCTTTCAAAACATTGTAATTAAAATTCACCAAAAAATAAAGTCGCTGTTAAAGAGGATTAGATAAAATTTACTTAATTTCATGATTATTTCATAATGTGTATATAGAAATCAACACTACAGGGTGACTGTCATTACCACACCCTGCCTTGCCAAATCTTTCCGAATCCACTGCACTGTCCTCAGGTTAACATCCAAACACTCTGATACGTCCGTATTGTGGCTTCCGGCTTCCAAGCAATACAGCATGCCTTTTCCAAATTTCTAGGGGAGTGAATTGCGTCATGGTGTTCTTTTTCTTACAGACAGTGCCCTACTAAACTGTGCAGTGGACAAAATTAAAAACAACCGACACGCGTGCGCGAAATTAAGAATATAAAATATCGACAATCTACCCCTCGCATCCAATATATATATATATATATATATATATATATATATGGAACCGTCATATAGCCTGACGTGCTTTTACCGATTTCGCCACAGAGGAGCGTGTCGGTTAGCAAGGTTGATTTTACTGTTTCTAAACTACAATTCTCCATGATTTTCATTTGGATACGCATCGAGCAGATATTAATGTACGTGAAAATGAGAAAATATATATATATATATATATATATATATATATATATATATATATATATATATGGGACTCTCGTCGCGGACGATAAATGAGGGTCCAGTAAAAATAAAGAGGCGCTCATCATTTATGAAGACGCCTTTATCTCCTGTGGGCTGTAGATATTTTGCCAACTTAGAAAGTTTGAACATGGCTGGGCCATTTTGGTTGAGTAGTTGAGAATAAATTGCCACATGTTTGCATGAGTGGACAGCAAGGCCTGCTTTACTGCAATTGGCAAAGTGGCAAAATGGCAGGTGAAATGGCGATCATTGCCAACTTGCTTTAATATGTGCACGCACTTGATCCCGATGTTCAAGTCTGCTTCGCTCAAACCTTTGTATTGAGTAGAAGGAGGCCTACGTCCAGCTTCTTCACCCAGCTCAGCTCCTTCGGTCTGCCGCGTTGTTTTCCCTGGAAGAAAAGAAATGACGTATCGATTCTGATTGTCTTTGAGATTGTCTTTGAAACACAAGAGTGACCTTCTAACTGACCTACTTGTTAGAAGATGGCCGTAGAGGAGTTGCTTTGGTAGTCTGCTATATCTCATACGAGAAAGATGTCTGGCCTACCTGAGTTGGGTTATCGTTAGAATAAGTATAAGACAATTTATTAAGATTATCTATTTAGTCATGGTGACTGAATGTTTGAGCCTAACTAATGTTGGTCAAATTCCGATCACGCAAGCTTTGCACACACAATCCCAGAAACTGTAAATAAGACCCACTCAGCAGAGTTGTAGTATAAACCACAGGTTTGAACAAACACAAATGTGCCTGGGCAGTGCCTGCAACAAGGATTGGTTAATTAAGAGGTGGGTAAGATCGGAAATCAATTGCTAGCCATTAAACAAACACACACACACACACACACACACACATATATATATATATATATATATATATATATATATATATATATATATATATATATATATATATATGCATATTATTCTTTACAGGTAGCATATTACAGTAGCTACACACTAAAGATTACGTTGTACATGAAACTCCGAATCGTACTACTGTTGAGGAATAATATGTATTATCATCACCAACACTCAATTTGATATATATATATATATATATATATATATATATATATATATATATATATATATATATATATATCAGAACGAAAAGAACGAAAATAAGTTATAAATTCTAACGTTCACAGCATTAATTCAAAGAGAGTTAAATACCGATAATAGAGCAATAGTTATTTGTTATAATTTTTTCATATAGACTAAAACAACTTACTACAAAGACGCAACTTCGTTTCGGTGCATTTAGTTGCACCTCGACTAGTGAGAACCAAAATAATTATATCCATTTGGTTCTCACCAGTCGAAATGCAACTAAATGCACCGAAACGAAGTTACATATTTGTAGTGA